AGGGGTCGAGTGCGTGGATCCCTGGGCACTCTGAATCCAGTTCTGATGAACAAATTCTCTATGCCACCGCCATTCTGGAACCTGCTGCAGCCGCCACCACTGCTGATGCCACTGCTGCCATTCTGGAACATGCCCTTCTGCGGCTTGCTTCTCAAAACAAACTCTTTCATCTTTGCACTTCTGAGGCTGCAAAGGGTGGAGACTTGCTGCTCCTAGTGATGCCCTCAGGCCATCTTTTCCATTCTCCTGTTCCTCCTCAGCAATGGAGATCTCCTCAGCTTTATCTTTGCAGTCCACAGCTTTACTGGAGCTTCCTTTCTGGCCAAACTCACAACATTTTAAATCATCTTGCTGGGCTCTTTGCTCTTGATTCTCAACATAAATCTGGCTAAAAGCCCCCAACAATAGCCATGCCACTGCCTCATTGTTCAACTACCTTGAAATTTCTTCTGCCAGATTAATCAGTCCACCACCCTTAATCTCAGTCTCAGGCAAAGTCTCTGGACATGAGCAAAATGCAGACAAAGTTTCTACTAAGCCATAGTATACATCACCTGGAGTCCAACAACCAATGCAGTCCTTCCCAGTAGAAACTTCCTGAACCCAGTCTTTACTGGCAGGATTTCTGTCAGCCTTCTGGTCTTCTGAGCTCTCACAAGAATCTTCCAGACAGAACAGCCAAAGGTGTTCCAGCTGTACTCTTTCAGGCAACATCTCTGAACTTTTCCAAACACTTCCCATGAGCCATTTCCAAAGGCTTTTGAACCACATGGTCAGGTATGGTCACAGCAATGATCCCCCTTCTCTGCTACCAAATTCTGTCTTGGTTACTTTTCTCTCATTGCTGAGACAAGATGTCCGACACCCAAAATTAAGGAAGGAAAGGTTTATTTAGCTTACAGTTTGTGGAGTCTTCAATCCATACTCGGCTGGCTCCAAGGCCGAGTGGCACATGGCAGGGGCAACAGGGGCAACATGACAGCGGAAAGCAGCAAAAGCAACCAGAGCAAAAGGGAGGAGGGGCAAGCAGCCTCTTTCCCTCCCTTACATTGTATGCAGAGTACCCACCTGGGGCAGGTGTAGCACTCACATCCACAATTCCAACGTTGGACCATGAATCAATCATAAACTCTAAAAGCCTGCCCCATGACTGCATGTGGCTGTGGGGGGACACCCAGACACAAACCATAACAAGTGGGCAAAAGGGGTGGCACTGGCCTGCCAGAGTTCAGGAGCCATGTGTCATCCGTGACCAGAGCAGGTTCTTCTCAGAATAAATGTACAAGAGCCAGCAATCACTCTTGTTTGTCTTTGTTTTTGTTTTTCCCCTGAGAAGTAATAATATATTTCTGTAAAATGTGTTTCCAAAAACAGTATGTTATTTGTATTAAACTGATACCCAAAAAGCTGGAAGATGGTTTCTGTAGCCTCCACCAAAACCTCCCAGGGTAACTCAGCCTTGCCATTTCCGGCTTCATCACAGTCCTCATATCATTTCCACTGCTCTGGGAGTTTCGAGCTGGAGACCTAGCGAGAGTAAAAGAAAAGCCTGCAACAAAAATGACCGTGTATTTATAACAGTCTGCTCCCTAATGAAAACCCGAGATCAGTGCAGTCCCTGTTCTGTGGAGCTGTGGCCCTGGTGTCCATGCAGCCCTGGGGCCTCTGCTCCCAGCCGGGAGGAGCCACTGGGAATGTCCACCCTGGGCCCTACCTGGTGGGTGGAGCTGGGTGGAGCTGGGTGGAGGGATCCAGGCTCAGAGGATCGCAGGGCTCTGGGGGCTCGATCTTCTGATCCCCAAAACCTGGGAAGCCCTGAGCATGAGCATGTCACTCAGGGCAGGGTGATGCTCCTGCCCCCTTTGGGTGTTAAGAGCCATGGTGCAGGATGGGAAGGGAGGTTCTAAATACCACGTGGTCACAGAATGCGAGTAGCGTCACCCAGACTGGCCCAGCGTTTGGGGTGGCTTCATCTTTTTCCCAACCAAATGTGGCTTTCTGTGCTGACCTTGACCCCTGTTTAAATTTTAGAGACTTCAAACCCCAGTGCAGCTCTGAAGCCAGTCTGATCCTCAGCATGGGGGTAGTCACACTGGGTTTCCGCAGGCGCTGTATCAGTTTGTTTCTTAGAACTGTCACTCATGGCTGGTTTCAGTTAGATTGTTGTCGCTGCTTCACCATAAAGCCTGCCATTCCTCACCTGAGTTTCTGCCGTGCAAAGTGCCCTCGACAGATGGCAGACAGGGACAGGGAGAAAAATAAGGGAAGTATTTCCCCAGCAAAGGGGAGAACAGAACGGGGGGGACCAGCTGAGACATTAAGGTGACAAGGCCTTGGGGATGGCATCTGTGCGCCTCTTCCTGAGAACTAAGTCCTTGTCATGGGCAGCACTGCCCAGGCGCCTGGTCAGCCTGCCTGGCCCCTGCTCCATGCCCTGCACTAGAGGGCTTTAAATTCAGAGCAGATGTGTATGGGATTTGTGTCTTTGGGTTGTTTTGCCGGCCAGCAGCTCGCAGGGCTGGAGACGGAGGCTCAAGGTGAATCGAGGAGGTTGCTGCAGGTTGGACTGTGGTTGAGCGCTGCATCCTCCAGAGAGGGGTCGGTGGAGTGGAGGGCAGCTGGCAGCCAGAGGAAGAGAGGAGGCTGGGACTCGCCATGCACATGCCTCTTGCTTGGAGCCATGCCTCCTCTGCAGACACCTCCCCTGCCCACTTCAGGTGTGGGGGGTCCCTGGGCCGTGAGCTGTGGTGCAGACTCCTAAAGGAGGTGGCTGGCTGCTTCTCCCTGCAGACTGGACGGCGGTGGTGCCCAGCAGTGGGGTAGGCTGGAAGGAAGGGAGGGAGGGAGGAGCCCGGCCTCTTCCTGAGATGACTGCAGCCTTCTGCGCCTGCCAGAAGGTGTCACAGGTCCCTGTCCTCTCCCAGCCCTGGTCCTGGCAGTGCGGCTCCTCTAAGGGAAAGTGGTGCTGGTTCCAAAGGTCACGTGGAATCGCCTCTCACTGCCCCCGAGGACAGGGGCAAGGGCACTTGGAGCCCTTCAAGTGCCAGGGCTGCTTGTTGCCAGTGTGTGGTCTCCAGCACAGGGTGGTGTTTGAGAGGGCGCCCCAGCTCCAGCCCCAGCCCCCGTGCTGGCTGGCGCCTAGGTGCCCTGCTGTGCTGGACTGTGGGCCGGCGCTTGCCCCCTCAGGTTCCGCCCTGCACATGGAAAGCCGGCCCTTTCGCGGGCAGCGTCACCACAGCAGCCACAGGTCTGTGCTGTGGCCAGCCGCACAGCGAGGCCCCTGGGCGGGTCTGGAGGTCAGACTTCTTAACTGGCGGCGGCACCTTGTGTGCGGCTGGTGCCGAAGCCCTCTAGTCTGTTGGTCTGTGCTGCTCTCCTCCTGTGGACACGGTGCCCTGAGACGGGGCCTGCTGTCCTGCCACACCGCCGTGCTCAGCGGACTCCAGGGTGGGGGCAGCTGTGCTCCAGGGCTAGGGGAGGATCTCACTCAGGACAGGCTTGCGGAGATGGCCCCAGGACGCTGGCCTTTGAGGGCACAGAGAGGAAAGCCAGCCTGAGGGCATGTGGGTAGGAGCAGCATGGCCAGGGTGCCCAGCACTGCAGCTCAGGATCAGCCTGTGGCCATGCCACAGGGGTGGACCCACTTCGGAGCACAGCGCCCCACGATGCAGCCACATTTCATGCACACTGTGACTTGAGGCCATCACGGGGTTAGTCAGCTGTGCAGGCTGGGGCATGCTGCAAACTCTTGGACCCCTGGGGCGCTGCAGTGCCGAGGCAGCCCGCAGTTCTGGGCTGTGAGAGCACAGCACCTTGCCGCCAGCCCAGCCCTATGCAGGACAGTGGGTGGCGGGTGGCATGTGGATGCCAGTGGGCGGGTCCCCAAGGTGCAAGGGCGGCACCCAGGACTGAACCCGGGACATAGTTCACAGTGTGGGGAAGGTCTGAAGGCCGGGAAGGCCCGGCCACCTGGCTCACTGTTGTCCTCGTCCTCCTGCACCAAGCTCCGTGGGACAGCTGCTATCTCCATGGCAGCCTGGGGGCCCAGCATTCCTCCCAGGGCAGTGTTTTTTCTGAATTCCCGGTTTCCTGAGCGCATGGAGGTGCCACAGTACTTGGAAAATCCCAAAGGGTTCTGTGAATCACTTTGTCGTTCTGCTGCGGGGTGAGGACCTGGTCCTGTGGCCCGGCCTCTGCCCTGTCCCTGGTCACTGAGTAGAGCTGCAGCTACACATCGCTTTGCCTGGCCTCACTGAGTGGCCGCCACAGATGCCCCGCCCAGTGTGGTTGGCTCTGGCTTCACTCTGACCTGTGTGACCGCCTTCCACCCAGGGCCAGCTGGAGGCACACCAGGAGGAAGGGATGGTCATCTCCCACATGGCAGTGGCCGGCGTTGGCCTTTGGATCGCCTTTACCACAGGGTCCACCCTTCGCCTCTTCCACACGGAGACACTGAAGCACCTGCAGGATGTCAACATCGCCGCCCCTGTGCATGGCATGCTGCCAGGTATAAGGCGGGGACACAGTGTACCAGCAGGAGCCCGGTAGGGCCACGCATGGGCCCAAGTACAGGAGTGGGGCCGCTGTGTGCCACCTGGTATGGGGCGGGGGCCTGCAGTGGAGGTGGGGAGGCTCCCCAGCCCTGATAGAAGTGCCCAGAGTCCTCTGCAGGTCAGCCTGCCTGCACAGGAGCAAGTGGTTTGAGCAGATGGACGCCAGTGGTCTGTTTCCCCGGGGGGCCCAGTCAGAGAACAGCCGGGCTCTGGCAGCCTCTGCTGCAGCTCAGTGTGCTCTGCATCCTGTCTCCCTGGTGGAGGAGCGTGGTGTGAGCGCCCAGGCACGTCCTGTCCCCAGGCCTGCTGCTCGCGTCTCCGGACAGCGCAGGGAGGCACTGCCATGGGCCAGCGCGGGTCGTGAAGCCACCGCCCTCTCCCCGCAGGCCACCAACGGCTGTCCGTGACCAGCCTGCTCGTCTGCCATGGCTTGCTGATGGTTGGCACCAGCCTGGGGGTTGTCGTGGCCCTGCCAGTCCCTCGTCTGCAGGGAATCCCCAAGGTGACCGGTGAGTGGGCATCTGCCTGTCCCTGGGATACTTAGCGCATGGAAGTCGGGGGTTAACATGCAGGGAATACTCGGTAGGCAGTGCCGCCCAGTCTGAGCTGTGCCCTGGGCGTTGCTTTTCCACTTCTGGGAATGCGTGTGCCTCACTTCGCTGCCCTCCGTGGTCTCCTTTAGCACTGGGAAACCGGGGAGGAGCCCAGGTCCGAAGCTGCTGCCCGTTCCTGCAGGGTGGGCGGGCATCAGCTTTGCCTGGTGTGGCCCCCCCGGGTTGTGCCAGGCCGCTGCTCCTCTGGGGGCGAGAGCTCACGTCCCTCTCGCCACGTCACTGCTCCCCTAGGAGATGGGTCCCAAGGTGCTGTCATCCACCCCAGGCCAGGGTCGCGGGGGAGGGGGATGAGCGCTGAGGGACAGATGTGGCATCTGCACAGGGTGTCTACTCCGGGCGGGCCAGGGCACCGGGCGCGGAGACACAGCTGTCCTGATGCCACTGCAGCCACACCACTTGGGCCACATCGCCAGGAACGAAGAGTCCCGATTTTAGCCAAAACCGTTGCACTAATTTTTCTACACCCCAGAAACTTTCTGCCCTGAAAAATGATAGAAACTGCTGATAGTAGAGTCATTTTGATCCTAAAACTGACACATTTCAGTTTTAATCTTTTAACTCAGACTTAGGAAAATTATATACATTTCCATAGAACAAATAAAAAGGTAGTGAATGTAGAACACTGGAAAGTGACTTTTTAACCTTTTTGGTGGTTCTATGCACTGAGAGTATCCCTAGCCTTCCTTTTCTTTTTTTTCTTCCTGAGGTAGGGTCTCACTGAGTTGCCCAGACTGGGGTTGAACAGCCATCTTGCTGCCCCAGCCTCCCAGGTGCGGGGATCACAGGCGTGCACCTCTGTGTCCAGCTTATTTAATAAGTGTGGTGTGGACATTACATATGGGTTCTCCTGCAGAAAACCCCATTTTGTCTTTTGGACAAGCACTCCTAACACTTTCTTCAGGCCCATGGGAGTGCAGTGAGGAAGTCCTGCCCTGTCACCATCAGGGTGTTGGTTCCTGTGGGCTGCTGCCTGCGTGAGGAGGTGCTGGGGGGACCCCTCGATCCCGTCCCTTTGATAACTTCTGCTGCTGGCCTTGTCCCTCTGCAGGAAGAGGCATGGTCTCCTACCACGCACACAATGGCCCTGTCAAGTTCATCATCCTTGCCACCACCCCACCCAAGGACCAGGACAAGGCCAAGGACAGCCCACCTCCCAGCCCTGAGCTCCCGGATGAAGAGCAAAAGGATTCGCCCTCCAGGGAGGGGGCTGCCTTTGTCCCCAGTCAGGGAGACCCTGACACAGCTGTGTGGCTGGGGGCTTGGCCAGGGCCGGGGCCACAGAAGAGTGACCTGTCCTTGTGGGAGTCACCGAGCTTGTCCCATGGCTCTGGCTCGTTAGAGCACAGGTCTGAGGACAGCAGGGTCTGTGACCTCCTGAGGGACTCTGCTGCCCCCACAAGGAGCAGGGCACAGCCATCCCGCAGAGCCAAGGCCAGCTCAGCGCTGGTGGTTTGTGGGGGCCAGGGCCACCGGCGCATGCACAGGAGGGCACGGCCGCCCCCAGAGGAGCTGGTGTCCTCCGTGATGGTCTGGCAGATCCCACTGCTGAGCGCATAGGGGATGCCACGTCTACACCGCGCTAGGGAGGAAATGTGCAATATGCCGCGAGGTGGCCTGCCCGCTGACTGCCCTGTCCACACAGCAGCACAGAGCCCAGGCGCCGAGGAGGACAGACCCACGTGTCCGGTCCCTGATGGTTTCCTGACAGTGTGATGCTCTTCATGAAGTGTCCGGCGTCTCTGTCTCTGCCTGTGTGTGCTCACCTGGAGAATCTGTGGGGGATGCAGCGTTGGTAATGACCCTGTGGTTCTCTCAAACTCCAGGGCCCCCGGCGACCGTGTCGAGAGCCGGATCACAGGCACCGGCTCGTCACGGTGTCCACTCCCGGAAGCAGCGCAGTCTCCTGTGCGCTGTGTACTCTAACAAAGCACTATTTTTCTATTGTATTTTCCTATTAAAAACTAACAGCGGCATTTTAGTCACCATAGCGTCCATGGCCGTTCACATCTAATCTGTGCTTTGAACCGAACGGCTCAGTACCGGTCAGCGCCAACCCACAGTGGCTCGGCCACAGGGCACTTCCAGCCCCACTGGGAGGGGGCCTCGCAGCAGAGGCAGTGTATCGGGGCAGCTCGCTCTCATGTGGGCCTGGAGTGGGGGGTCCACTGTGCCCGAGCTGGGACTCCTCTGGGGACCAGCCTGGAATAGGCCTCCTGACACTGCTTGCCGTGTGGACGCCCCCTGTGGAACACGCAGGCCTGCAGCCGTGGGCACGGAGCTGGCTCATGCGAGCGCTGAGTGACAGGTGAGCTCGGCCGCGCCCGCTTCCGGAGTTTCTTCCTCGTGTGTTCATTACTGGGGGAACAACGGGGAAGATGCCAAATGCAGGTATTGGGGGAAATGTTTCTCAGCACTTTACAGATGGCAGAAATTCCAGATTCGTGACTTAGCCAGATTTTTGCTGAGTTGGATATATACTCCTAAGCTTCCTTAAACTGTCAGCTGCTCTCTTAGTGCATAAATAAAGTGATTTTATTTAAAAATACAGTATTACAAGTTGTGTTTTCCTCTGCACAAACCCAGAAGGGCAGGGACAGCTGGGAGGGAGAGTGTGGCAGGCAGAGGAAGCGGACCTTCCGGAGCCCGCAGCGGCAGGCTCTTTGCCTTTGGGCCTTAGATGGCCATGGCGGTGACTGAGGTCTCAGCTCCCACAGGGGTCGGTGACAGTGCTGACCACCTGGGCCATGGAGCAGAATGAGCTTCGCAACCTAGCATGGTCCAGCGAGCACAGGGACTGCCTCAGCTTGGCACGGACTGGACTCCACCAGAGAGCTTGCAGTCCAGGTCTCCCGGGCTGCAATCCCAGGAAAGCCACGGGCAGGGGGCATCCAGGGAGGTGCTTCCTGTTGCTCTGTGTCTGTGTGTGGGACCGGAGTGCTGCTGTCCAGAGTCCTACACAGGCTCCTGCTCTTCCCGGTGGCATCCTGGGTCAGCTCAGCCTCCTGGTCTTCCTCTCTGCACGGGAGACCAGGGCCGTGCTGCTTCTTATCTGCCCCTGTATCAGGGAGCAGAGGCCGAGATGTGGGGACAACTGAGCTTCGTGGGGAGCTATGACGTGAGACCCACCACTGCTCCTCTGTGTCTCGGAGCTCGGGGCTCAGGTGGAATCCCGGGCCATGCCCTCCGATGCTGTCCCCAAGGGTGAGTAGAGCCGCACACACACGGCTGCCTCCCCATGGGGTCCTTCCTCATGTTTGCCGTGTTCTGACGCTGCCTGGTGCGGGATGCAGACAGATTGAGCTCTCCGACGGTGAATGTCACCTGCTCTGCCCTCAGAGGTCCTATGGAGTGGGGGTGTCAGCAGACTGCAGAGTCAGTATTTCCTCCCCTGGATTGGGTGGAACCCCGGGTGCTGGGAGACAGGGATGACATGCATGATGGCCGTGGAGGGCACCTCCAACCAGCACGCCTTTCCAATCATGAGGGAAGTGCTTCGTGCATTTGGGTATCCACGTGTGAGGAGGGTGGCGTGGCCCAGGCCTTGCTGCTGGCCCCAGTTGGCCCGTGGATGTGAAGATGCTGCTTCCTCCGGGAGGAGGCTCTGGGAGGCGGGAGCCCTCGAGTGTCCTCCCACAGAGCTGAGGGGGCCATGAGGACGTACGGTTCGGCAGCTCTGTAAGGTTCTCCACAGGCTCCCGAGCACCATGCCCACACAGTGAGCAAGCACCCTGCACACCCAGTGTGTGGTGATGCAGGGTTCAGATAGCTCTAGATGTGTGCCCCCATCACACACGCATACAGGTGTGCAGACGCATATATGCACACATAACAAGCGCATGCACACACACTCTAATAATGGCTGCTTTCCCTCCAGCGGCTGTTGGACAGTGTTTATTCAAGTGGAAATACAGAGGAGGCAGCTGTGGGCCACGCTGACCTCAGGCTCATTGGCTCCTAGTGGCTCTGGGAAAGATTAACCCTTGCTGAGTGGGCAAGGGAGCCCTGCTGGGGTGGAGGGCACGCGTGTGCCTGCACGTGTGGAGCCCTCATAGCCCCTCTGGGCATCTGTCCTGGGCTGACAGGTGGCCAGGCCAGGGGCTGGAAAGCCGCTGCCCTTCATCTTGGTCACCTGTGAAATGAGGCTCGCAAGTCCCTGCCCCGGCGTGGGTATGGCCAAAAGACGCCTCTGTGTCCCTGGGCTGGCTCAGGGATGTGGCCACTCTGGGCAAGGTGTCAGGGCCCCACACTATCTGGAGATCGCAGCAAGGGAGCTGGGCTGCCCTCTCCCCGGCACAACCTTGTCAGGGCGGGCAGGCTGGGATGGGGGAGTCCCGGCGGGGACAAAAGCGCCAGGCTTGGCCACAACCGTTCCGCCTAGCATCTGGCCAGGGCTCAGAGCAAGTGAACAGTGCCGAGGTAGAGACGAAGCAGAAATAAGCGGCTCCACATGGCCCTGCACTCCGAGCTCCGCGCTGCGGCCCTGACCGGCTGTCGTGCTGCGCAGGGCACCGGCCCATGGGCTGGAAAGCGGGCTCCAGCACAAACCGAGGGCGCCGCGAGCCAGTGCACACCGTGCCAGGTGGGGCTTGTGCAGCTGGGAAGAGCCCCTGCCCTTCGTGGGGACCCAGAGGGGGGTGGCTGTGTGGGGCTCCAGGGAAAGCAGGGCGTGGGGACTGTCGGGAGTGGATGGAGGAGCCTGGGGCTGCGGCTTCTGCTGCTCACTCAGTTCCAGCCAGTCCCAGGCCTTGGGCCCAGAGCAGGGAACCAAGAAGGGCTGCAGAGGGCCTGCGGGGGCCACCCCGGAAGGGCTCTTCCCAGGCAGCCCAGGAGACAGAGGCAGTGCACGCACTCCCAGCGGCAGTGGAAGAACCGGGTCAGTGCGTGCCTTGCTTTCTTTAGGGAAGGGCTGGGGAACTTACTTTTATTTTCATCTACTCGTGAAAAGTGGGTTTTTCGTGTGTTAATTTATGTGACTCCTGTGCTTGTGGGTCTCAACCAGGTGTGATCCGCTCCATCCCCCTGGTACAGGACACACAGTGACTCCAGGGTGGTTTTGGCCATGGCCTGGCGGGGGGGTGGGGGGAGGGAGCTTCTACAGCCACTGTGTGACCCTGGGGTTGGTGGACCCCCGCAGTGCAGGGAGCCCACGCATCAGCAGGACCCAGGCTGAGACCCAGACCTGCTCCGGCGGGTCCCAGAGAAGCCCTCTGCATGCCCTTTGCTGTCAGCGTGGATTGTGCGAGTCCCCGTGGCCTGAGCATGTGGGGGCCTGCCGTTTCAACACCCTCAGTTCTCACTGTGGCCGTCCCCTCTGAGCACTGCTGTGCCAGCTGAGTTCAGAAACCTCAAGTCTGGGCTGTGAAAGGACGCACAGTCCGCGGTGTGGGCGGTGCACTTCGCCCATGCTGAGCGCTTAACATCGAGCAGGACAGCAGGGGCTCCTGCTCAGCAGGAAGAACGGCTCCTGGGCCAGGAGATGTTTTCTGCAGCTTGGCTTGAAGCAAGTTCAGTGTGCCTTCATCCGGACCGACACAGCTCACAAACCGGGGGTGGCTGTCCAGGTCGCGAGTCTCAGCTGACTTCACCGAGGGCCCCGAAGGACGCGACGTCCAGGTAAGGCGTCTCAGCTGCTTGCTGTTGCTCTAACTGAACGCCACAGGCCGGAGCTCATGAAGAGATGAGCAGCTGTGGTCCTCGGCGCTCCCACAGGGAGGACCTTCTTGCTGGGGGGCCTGCAGGTCTCTGGCAGTGCAGGGCAGCACTGGCCACACTGCTGGGTGCTGCTCAAGCCCCGCTTCCTCTCGGCAGCAGCTCTGGGCATCGGGGCACCGTGCCTGAGGCCCTGCCCCGGGGTCCCTCCACCAGGTGCCACCCGAGCAGCAAGTCCCGGCCCTCGAGACCTCAGCACAGGGTAGCTGCAGGGACCTGAGTGGAGGGGCCTTCACACCACCGCAGAAGGGCTCCAGCCTCGATTTCGGCGTCCAGGCTGCGCTCCCCTGAAGCTGTGACTTCACCTCCCCCGGAAGGCCCATTCCTGTCCGATGCTGCTCTTGCACACGGATGGTGTCTGCACCCGGGCAACCTCACGGATGACTTCACAAACCGCCAAGGAGCTGCGGTGTGGGTCAGGGGACGCTTCGTGGGGTGGGGAAAGCAGAGCCGGAAGGGTGGAAGTGTCCCTAAAGGTGGGGGCTGGGGCCGGGGAGCAGCGGGGCCGGGCAGATGCGCTTCTGCAGGTCTGCCGCGTCTCCAGCCCGTCTCTCCGGACCCTGGGGGCTGGAGCCGCGGTCTTCCGAGCCAGCCGGGGCGCCGGTTGGGGCTGAACACTGCAGGGAAGAGCAAGCACGCGGCCCAGGACACAAGCAAAGCCTCGGCGGGCCTCGGGGCCGAGCAGGAACGTCGCGGGGGCCGCGTGCCGCCCTGGCGGGACTTCCGGAGGTGCAGGGCTCAGGGAGGCGGACGCGGTAGGAGGCGATCACTGGGCGTGGCCTCGGAGGGCATTTCCCCTCCCCCGCTCCGCCCCTGTCTGCTTCCTGCCCTCGTGACCCGGCCTGGCCCCTGGCCTTTCCGCGTTTGAGCCCTCGGAGCACAGGCCACACTCGGAAAACAGCCCAAATCACCTCCTCCTCCTCCTTTGAGCAGTGGGTGTGCGGTATTGTGTCCCAGCGGCGAGGAAGTGCCCCAGACAGCCTTCCAGGGCTCAGCCAGGCAGCAGCGAGGACGGGGGTGGGGTGCGGGGGGCTGACCCACTTCCCAGGGCCGGGGGCGGAAGCCAGGGCCGAGCACAAAGGGCTGATTGGAGCCCCACACCTTCGCGAGGGCAAAGCCCGGAGCATCAACACACCCGAGAGCCCGGGGTTTACTGAGAGGCCAGCCAAGGGTGACTCGGTGTTTTCCACCAGCGCTCTCCTGCGCCTGCAGATCTCCAGTTCCAGTCCGCAGCCAGAAAGGAGCGGCGGTCTGTGCAGAAGACGCAGGGCTGGCTTGCTCGGCGGTGAGCTTTAGGCTTACACAGACTCGAAGCCCTCGAGGGCCCTCTGAGCACTGGTAGCCCCCGCCCCAGCCAGCCTGTCGCAGTGCGAGGCCTCCTCCTGCAGTAAGACCTTGCTCTGGGGAGACAGGACAGGGCCGGTGCAGCACCCCACCCTGCAAGCGGGCCGTGGAAGGACGGGAGACAGCACGGGCAGGACCTTCCTGTGGGAGCCAGGCAGCGCCAGCTCCAGTTCAGAGCGGGGTCCTCAGACCTGTGCCCAGCTCACAGCGAGCGTACACCTGGTGAGCCCGGCACTGGGGACGTGGCTTTGTGGCTTGAATCTTCTTAAAAGTCTTTCCCCCCACCTGCGAATTCAAAAAGAATCAGTCAGTAATGGGCTGAAAGTGAAAACGAGTAAGCTGGTGCAGCACACTGTCAGCTGCCTTACAGGAAGGTCACAACCCCGCCCGGGGCCCGGAGCTGCCACATGCTGCTTGGCCCTGAAGCCCCGACGTGCCTCCCTGTGCTGTCTCAGAAGTCTGTGATCGAGGTGCCAGCAGGGCTCTGCTTCCCCCTTGTCACTGGCTCTCACTCGCCCTTACGAAGCTCCTCTGGCAGCCGTGCCCTCCCTGTCCTTGTCCCAGTCCCCGCCCCCCTGTGTGTATCTGCCTTTGTCCCAGGCTCCTCTTCCTACAGGACACCAGCCCTACTGGACAAGGCCCCAGGGCCTCATTTTATCTGATCGCCTCTGTAGAGACTTTTCCAAACAGGTCCCATTCAGGGAAGTCATCTTTCTGCAGGATGCAATTCAACCTGAGACAATCTTCAAGCTGGGAGGAGTTCACAAGAATATACTGCCAGACCAAGGATCCTATCCAATTTACACCTTTGGGGAGTCACTTTCCACCCACTCTAATTGAGCACACTTTCAAGGATTTGCTCTCTCTGCAGACACTCCTTAAAGATGCCTGGAAAGTCAGATTCTTCACAGTCATTTTGTTATCGGCAAGATCAGCAGTTTGTTTTTAATTTAGATTGTGTCTGGTTAAACCTTGATGGCATCACAGCCCTTTGCTGGTATTGCTTCTCGGTGGCAGCAATGTGATTTAGAACAGATTTATGGGACAGCAAGATCCATCCTGGCTGCCAAGGGGCTGGCATGACAGTGGATGCCCACATGCGGGGTCCTCACACTGCCCAGCTTGTCCATCTGGACCGCCCTGGCCACTGACCTCGAGCTCAGGGCATCTGCCACATTGGGCTCCTTGAGCAATTTCAAGAGGTGCCCTATCTGAAAAGTTAAGCTCCGAGCTTAATTTTTAATCCAAAGCACAAAATATATCCCAGACTGGGGGAAGTCAGCGTGGGGGAATCGAGTGCAAGCCACTGAGGAGGCTGCAGATTTCAGTTCTGGTCAGCACTCCAGACTCTGCACTTGACCTCGGGTTCTTGTGCTCAGGAGCTGTCGTACTTGGGATCTGCAGCCCAGATCCGTTATCCACTTGGGCCTGCTGCGTTTTGTGCGACCACGGCCAATCCTGCTCTCTGAGTCAGGTTGGACTCGACAGAAAGCCGCCTCCACCGCTGAGGGAAACAGGCCCACCACCTGGTATTTTGCAGAGCTGTAGATACACTGTGTGAAACCAGCACTGTTAATATATTCCTTGAAAATATTTAAAAATAACTATTAACATTTCGTGACCTTTTTGCCAGCTGTGGTAGTTCACATCTATAATCCCAGTTCTCTGGGAGGCTGAGGCAAGAGGATTGAAAGTCGGAGCCTCTCCTGGACTATTTAGCAACTCAGCAGGACCTTTGTCTTAGAACAAAAATAAAATGGGCTGGGAACGTAGCTCAGTGTGAAGGCCCTGGACTCCATCCCCCGTACTGAGAAAGTTATTTTAAGTGTATTTTCTGGGGAAGAAAAGGTCTACGAGGATCAACAGTAGTAAACTATAGGCTTACCAAGTTAGTGACCATAGTATTGATGTGCGGAGGACATACTGCCTCTTGGCATGGTGCTGAAGGGAACCGAGGCCCGAATGCCTCTGACCCACAGCAGAAGCCCGAAGGGCAGGTCTCTGCAGCCAGGGTGGGGGCAGCACAAAGCGGAGGTGTCTCACTTCTTGTTTCAGATCAGCACAGCAGGGACACCTGCGGCCAGGTGCTGTCTGTGGTCCGCACTTCCAGAACGACGTGGCTGGCACACTGCGCCACCCGACCTCAGCAGTCCTGAGCACGGCTGTCTGAGCACGAGGTCCTCAGGCGCTGGCCTCCGGCGTGTGTGGGAACGGGGACTCCGGGACAGAGCCACTGTGCACCGCGGATGCTTCTCAAAGCGCACAGGCAGAGCTCGCGGGAGCGGACGGGCAGGCAGGCCGGAGGAAGGAGACGGCTTTGCCGGCACACGGCACAGACAGAATTTTAAAGGGAGCAGTGAACCCTGTTTCCAGCCAATACACATCTAATTATTTTTCCATGCCAAGGAGCTGGAAGTGTGTACAGCATTGGCTCCATTCCTGGCAGTTACTGGAACTTAATTGCAGGGGCCCGGCAGTGCAGAGAGTCTTGGGGCTGTTAAAAGCGCTGGGCGAGCCTCTCGGGCCGGGCACTGGCGTCTGCTTCCCGCAGGGAAAGGAGTTCCCTCCCGGGGAAGGAAGCTGAGGATGAGGGGCCTTAGGCAACCTTCCTCTCCTGCATCCCCCAGGGGCAAGGCAGAGCTAGAGGTGAGCAGAAAGGTGTGTGGAGGGTGAGACCCCGGTCTGCAGCCCACCTGTCCGGGGCCGTGGCCGAGACCACAGTTGGGATCTGCGTCTGGGCTGTAGCCTCCACACCCCAGCCAGGTCAGTGAGCCAGGTCTGCACCCTCAGGACGTCAAGTCCACCATATGCCTGGGCTCCTCCCGAGCCACGAAAACTCTCGGGGCATATTCGTAGTCTTTCATCAGTTGTTTTCGCTGTGGCAGGCGCCTGCCCTGAGCTGCCTGGATGTGCCTCAGGGCTCTTGGATTACCTCGGGCCGCGTGCTCCAGACATCTTGCCATCCCAGGTCAAGGTAAGCACCTGAGAGGTCCCGGGACCCAGGGGACTCCAGCACAGAAGGTTCCTTTGCGACGCTCTCTGCTCTGCTTTAACACAGCCCATTTTAAAAATAAGATATTTAAGGGTAAAAATACACCGTGGCACCCACACAATGCACATCTCGGTGAGGCAGGAGGGGCGGATGTTTTGCTTTATTTTTTCCTTCTTTCTAAAAAAATACCCACGCAGAGCCAAGCGTGCGGCAAGATGAAAACCCAGTGTGCAGAGGGCAGGTGCCGCTGTCCTTGACCTCGGGGCATCTGCAGGCCCACGGAAGGCGGGGGGCCCGACCCACCAGCCAGCCCCCCAAGCTTTTTTGCAAAGAATGGGGTGAAGGTGAACGTATTCTCCACCCAAGCGAAAGGACGCGCCAAGAGGAGCCCAGTAGACTCGCATGTTTGGAGTAAACAGCAAACTAGTAACGAAGCTCGATGGGGACTATTTCTCCGCGGAGGCCGCTTCTGCTGCAGCCGGCCGGTTCTCAGCCCCGAGAGGCCGCAGCTCCCTCTGCAGGCCCGGCGCGCGGCGAGGGGCGAGGGGGCCGCAGGGCGCAGGGTCCG